TGAATCCTTTCTTAATATTTTTTTTGACAGAAATACGTTCAACTATACAAAATTTGTTGGAGACGGTAACAGTGTGCAATAGATAAAAAATCTCTCTAATATTCTTTTCCATGATTTCATTGATGAACACTACAACTCATTTATTTCTTCTATCGAATGATTCTAATTCTACACCAATAAATAATCAAGCATGGTTTGTTCCTCTCGATATTACAGTAATTTGTTTTCTTGCTTTGGTCATTATATTGAGTTTTGTATTTTTATGTGTTATTTTATTTGATAAAACATGTCATACAGTTGCAATGATGCTTGTTGTAAATTCATGTCTTGCTACTCTTTTGTTTGCGTGTAGTTTAATTTGGCAGACGGGTATTTCGCTTGGCAACGATCTTAAACAAATTGAATATGAAGATCCACTTATGTTGCTTGTTCTGAAATATTTTATTCTTATTTATTACAATCAATTTATCGATATATATTAGCTATATATCCAACCCGTTTATTTTATCAATCTGCAAGATTTCAGTTTTTTCTCATTGTGTTAACATGGATATGTGCTTTTCTATGTATTTCTCCATTTATACTGACAGGTGAGATTATATATATTCTCGATGAACAAATATGTCAGATGTTTCTTCATCGATCTGTAGTATTGATTTATGGTACATTTTATATGTATATAATACCTATGAATATTATTATGTTTATCTATTATAAATTAATTTATTATATTAAACAAATGAGTAAACGTGTAACACACGTAAATAGCGTAACACGTGCACAAAGAGAATTACGAATGGTTCATCGAGTAGTTATCATTGTATCAGTCTTAATAACAGTCGGCTTGCCTTATACAATTTTTATATTGATGGGGTTAATTAGTCAATCACCAAAATATCATTTTCGTATTGCTCTCGCATTTGTTGATGTATCATTATTTTTCATTATAATTCTTTTGTTTAAATTTACAGATCCCGTTAAAATATCGATCATGAAAAGAATAAACAGAAAACAAAATACAGTAGTAATACTACTGGCATAAATGATGAAAATTAAATGCTTATATATACACTAATCAGTTTTCATATTGTATTTTTCCCTTTTCTGAAAGAAAGGGTTATACAGCGATTAAATCGACGGCTTGAAATGCTAAAAGTTTGTCTATCTGTCCAAGCCAATCAGATTACAGCATTTGACAACTCAAAGAAAACTTCACAATGGTCATACGGCAATGATTCACCATATGTAATCGAGGTTGGGGATCTCAAATCTGATGTTAGTTTTTCAAAATTCTAATTACCTAATTAGCTGATTAAGTAATGAAAATTTTCTTCGTTGCCGAGTAAGGGTTGACTGAAGGGTAGTCGGGGTCGAGGATCTCGAATTCGATGTCAGTTTTTAGAAAAATTTCACAGACGGATATCTGAATGGAAATGTTGAAGACAACTTAACGGCAATATCTAAAGAGTATCGCCACTGAAACGTTCTTTTGCTTTGATATGAGTAGGAAATATTATGTCTCAGTTATAAAGCTAATCTAGCGAGGAAAAGATACGGTTGAGAAACCATCTGTTTTCTTGGGAGCTTTGTTTCAATCTGTTAAATAGGCTTAGCGAATGTTATCAACTCTTATAATGTCCTATGATTCAATCAAAGCTGTGTAAGAAAATTGTTAACTTCAAAATATGGGTCTTGAGAAATCAACAAACACCCGATTAGGTTGAATAGTAAGTAAAAACATTTGATTGACTTATTGAAGATGAAATCCTTGATTTATTAAACATATTATACAGAAAGCACCAATGTGACATTCTCGGCGATTGAATAAAAAGTTTTTGAGAGAAAATTTTGTGTCAAAAGGAAAATTTGTTTTCCGTAAAAACTGCTTCTGTTTTTTTCGGAGAGTTTTACTGTTTGCAGTGTTTGATCAAACTAAACGAACGAAACTTAACATTTCTTTATATTGTAGGCTAGTCCCGTGATCAATCAACTAAGCAATAAAGTTGATGTTTTCCTATAATATTTTTTAAGGATCGTATGATTTTCGTTTGATCTATTTGTGGATTTGTTCATTTCCATTCAATAGATATTTGTTTATGAAGAAGTGGATTTGAAACATGTGCCATTAAGTACAAATATAAGCCACTAATCAAGTATGATAATTTGATTACGTCGTTGAAAAATCGTTTGTATGCCATGTGTTTCACTTAGTTACGGTTAAGTTGAATGTAGTAAATACATTCGATTGTTTTTTGTGAAACAAGAAGACAATTCAAATGAATCTTTAGCTTTTTATCCCACTAATAATGAACAACAACCTATCCAGTAGCATAACTATTGAAATGATTTGATTTAGCCATGCATCGGAATGGTAAACTCTCTTCGTTGCATTTATTTGTTAATTTAAGAATCTTCTCGGTCAGTTAAAAGTGATGGAAGGAAGATGCGAGTTGTTAAACAAATTGATTTTTGAAGTTATTGTATTTCTTTGTTTTTGTATCATCCCAGGTCGAACAATCCCATACTCGGATCCAGCATCGGATTTGTTGACCTGGGGATTTACTCCTAAAACATAGAAAAGCATAATGTTGAAATTTTCGAGCTGCTACTCTCACTCTCGATAATAATATATTTTGTTTTTATTTTATATAAAACCGAGCCTTTTAATATTATCTTTTTCGATATTTTACCTTTTCAACCATTCCATATTCACCCTCAGGAATACTTGAAAATAGAGAACGTTCCTCTCGTTGTTGTATTGCTCGTAGTTTTATATGTAAAACTTGAATAGCTTCAATGTAATTCAATTGATCATCTATGGTGTTTGATACCTAGCGAAAGAAAATAAACCGCATCTCATGACATCATTGACTTACGTCAGCGCACTAATCTATATTTGGGCTGAACAATAACAAAGCTGGGCGTTGTCATTAAATAAAACGAGTATTGTTGAGTGCACATAGGTGAATGTGTATATATGCGCGAGTGTTTCAGTTGATATCACATTTCGTTTATTTAAGTGAGTACGAGAATGAGAATGTATTCGATCGAAATGCATCAAACATCATTTCTTGTTTTAGTTACAAATCATAAACAATGACGGTGAAATCTTTCTCAGAAGATAATGAACAATCGCTTGATATGTTTCCTACAAAGAATATATCGATACATGTTCTCAAATCAACAAGTCGATGTCGTATTATTGCATTGTCACTTTTTATTCTTACTGTTATTGGAGTCGTCGTTATTTTTCACAAGGCAAACGAAACCGCTCGAGGAGATGAAGGTAAATGAGTTGAATGGAATTTACTGTTATGGATGATAATGTTTAGGGCGTATGGAAAGTAGATTATTCGATAGGAATTTTCAAGAACAAGACGAACTTATTCGAAAACGACGCTCGTCGGATTGTTCCTCTAAGCATGTTAAACATCATCGATCGCGTATGTTCATCGTATTTCTTTTTTCTAAGTTTTGAATATTTATCGTCAAAGGTTCTAAAAACAAAAGAAAAACACACCCAATACCGTCGAAAAATGATAACTCTAATTC